GGCCAAGAAGCACATGAAAATCTGCTCAACATCACTAATTATTAGAGAAATGCAAATCAAACTACAATGAGGTATCACCTCACACCAGTTAGAATGGGCATCATCAGAAAATCTACAAACAACAAATGCTGGAGAGGGTGTGGACCAAAGGGAACCCTCTTGCACTGTTGGTGGGAATGTAAATTGATATAGCCACTATGGAGAACAGTATGGAGGTTCCTTAAAAAACTAAAAACAGAATTACCGTATGATCCAGCAATCCCACTACTGGGCATACACCCAGAGAAAACCATAATTCAAAAAGACACATGCACCCCAATGCAGCACTATTTACAACAGCCAGGTCATGGAAGCAACCTAAATGCCCATCTACAGATGAATGGAAAAAGAAGTTGTGGTACATCTATACAATGGAATATTACTCAGCCATAAAAAGGAACAAAATTGAGTCATTTGTTGACATGCGGATGGATCTAGAGACTGTCATAGAGAGTGAAGTAAATCAGAAAGGGAAAAACAAATATCGTATATTAACACATGTATGTGGAAGCTAGAAAAATGGTACAGATGAACCAGTTTGCAGGGCAGAAGTTGAGACACAGATGTAGAGAACAAACATATGGACACCAAGGGGGGAAAACCGTGGTGGGGTGGGGATGGTGGTGGTGGTGGTGTGATGAATTGGGCAATTGCGACTGACATTAGTATACACTGATGTGTATAAAACTGATGGCTAATAAGAACCTGCAGTATAAACAAACAAACAAAAGAATTAATGCTAAACTTTCTTTGGGTTATTTGTATGGAAATATGTTAATATAAATGTTTCAGACATTACATGAAATTTCTAAAAATCTTATATGTTCTGGTATAAGTCATAATTCTAGTTATTACTTGAAAATGTATATCTCAGAAATAACTAAATTTCCTTGTCAACTGCATTATTATGAGCTTTCATCAAATCTTTAGCCGTGGTCATTTCTAAGTCTTTTGTCATTTACAGACAGTTCTGGGTGGATTCTGATGCTTTTGCAAAAGTGTTCCTGTAAAAGGGTTTCATCTTCAAGGAATTCATGGAAAAGACTCTGACAAGTACAGGTTTCTGGTAACTGACTATACTGCTGACGTGAATGAATAAGCATTTTCAGAACTCTAATGGAAAACTGATGAATTATAAACGTGCTAACAAAAGATCAAGACAAAAAAAATAATTACATGGGACTGAGTGAACTGATGACGATGATTTTAATTTTTGTGACTCTGTTTGAATTTTAAAAAAATCCCACAAGGACTCAGAGGCAAAAAATATACAAATCAATTTTCACTGCAACGTAAAGGAGCTGTTACAGTGGAGGATGACTGCACTGAATGTCAATATTATGACATAGTATGAGTGTGTTTCGTTTTTGGTAATTGCAATCATTGTTGCTTTTGTTGTCGTCATCCATTTACAATGCTTGATGTCAGTTTATTTATCTCTTGTAAAAATAAAATACAGTGTGTGTGTGTGTGTGTGCGTGTGTGAAAAAAATGAGGTTTCGTAAATTCTCTCTTAAATTTTATTTTACTAACTGCTAGATAGAAATATTAATTTTTATATGAAGACGTCATACCCAGCTTGCTAAAGTCACTTATTAATTCTAATTCTATAGATCATTTTAGATTCTTTAATTATCTGGAAATAAAGTGTTATTTCTTTTTTTCTGTCTTAAAAAAAAAAAGAAAAATAGGCAAGGGGCTTCCCTGGTGGCACACTGGCTAAGAATCTACCTGCCAATGCAGGGGACACAGATTCAATCCCTGGTCCAGGAAGATCCCACATGCCATGGAGCAACTAAGCCCATGCGCCGCAACTACTGAGCTTGCGAGCCACAACGACTGAGCCCACATGCCACAACTACTGAGACCACACACCACAACTACTGAAGCCTGCACACCTAGAGCCTATGCTCTGCAACAAGAGAAGCTACCACAATGAGAAGCCCATGCACCACAATGAAGAGTAGCCCCCGCTCGCTGCAACTAGAGAAAGCCTGCATGCAGCAATGAAGACCCAATGCAGCCAAAAATTAATTAATTAATTAATTTTAAACAGTACACAAAAAGTACAATCCGTATGGTAAAAGATTGATAAATTAGACTACATTCAAATGTAGAGCTTCTGCTGATCAAAAAGACACTTTGAAACCCATGAAAAGCTCATATCCAGAATGTATAAGGAACTCCTACAACACGCCTAGTGTTGAACACACTAGTTCAAGCACTTATTAGCACAACTACTTTGGAAAGCTGGCACAACCACTGAGGCTGAACATACACATACACTATGACTCCCCAAGTCCTCTCCTGAGTGTAATCAGACAGAAGAGCATGCATGTATACATCGAAGATTATACGGGAATTTTCACAGCAGCATTTTTTGTACTAATAAAAACTGCAAGCAAGCTAAGTGATTATCCTTGAGAAGGAACAAAAGCCCAGTAACTGGGAAGTGGTATAAGGGGGATTCCTGGAGTAATGGAAATGTTCTGTATCTTGACCTGCGTGGTGGCTGCATGAGTAATTAGCTATGTACTTCTGTATGTGCTTGTGTACATGTCTGTAATACTCAATAAAAATAATTTAAAATATATATACCTTCATATAATTCAACATTTAGAAGACAATCTAGAAAATTTGAACAACTGATTGTACTGATATATTAACATGCTAATGAATCCTTGATTAACTTTTTAGAATAAGCAAGTCATTAGGTGTGATAATGGTAATGTATATTTATGTTTTTAAGACTCCTTATATCTTAGAGAGTCATACTATTTATAGTGAAAGGATATTATGTCTGAGATTTTCTTTAACATAATCTATGGGGGAGTGACGGGAGGGGCACAGCAGGTATAGCTGAAATGAGGCTATGAATTTATAATTGTTGAAGCTAGGAGTTAAGAACTGTTGAAGCTGGGTATGAGTACATGGAGGAGCTTCATTATATAATTCCTGCTACCTCTGGAAATTTTCCATAATACTAACTTTAAAAATATAAACATATGCAGCACTATTTACAATAGCCAGGTCATGGAAGCAACCTAAATGTCCATCAGCAGATGAATGGATAAAGAAGATGTGGTACAAATATACAATAGACTATTACTCAGCCATAAAAAGGAACAAAAATGAGTCATTTGTAGAGACGTGGGTGGACCTAGAAAGTGTCATAGAGAGTGAAGTTAAGTCAGAAAGAGAAAAACAAATATCGTATATTAACACATATATGTGGAATCTAGAAAAATGGTACAGATGAACCGGTTTGCAGGGCAGAAATAGAGACACAGATGTAGACAACAAATGTACAGACACCAAGGGGAGAAGGGGCGGATGGGATGAATTGGGAGACTGGAATTGACATATATACACTAATATGTATAAAATAGGTAACTAATGAGAACCTGCTGTATAGCACAGGGAACTTCACTTCGCTGTACAGTGGAAACTAACACAACATTGTAAAACAACTATACCCAGGACTTCCCTGGTGATGCAGTGGTTAAGAATCTGCCTGCCAATGCAGCAGACACGGGTTCGAGCCCTGGTCCGGGAAGATCCCACATGCCATGGAGCAACTAAGCCCGTGCGCCACAACTACTGAGCCTGAGCTCTAGAGCCCGGGAGCCACAACTACCGAGCCCACGCGCCACAACTACTGAAGCCCAACGCCTCAAGCCTGTGCTCCGCAACAAGAGAAGCCGCCACAATGAAAAGCCCGCACACCACAAGAGTAGCCCCCGCTCGCCACAACTAGAGAAAAGCCCACTCGCAGCAATGAAGACCCAATGCAGACAAAAAGAAAGAAAGAAAGAAAACACAAAAAACATACAAAATAATATTCTCTCTGTATACACTATTATATGTACATACTATTTGTATATATGTAATATATACTACATATAAAATATACATGTATGTTCTTTTTTTAAAATCTGTATGTGCATATAAATTCACTGCAACAGATCTGGAAGGGTAGAATATACCAAGCTAGCAACAGTGATTAATTTGGGGACAGGGAATGGGATGAGTAATATTTGTAATGTTTATCTTTTCTCCAAGGAGAATATATTCATATACATCCAGTAAAATTTAAAGTTAATTTAAATTAAAAATAAAATAAAAATAGATTTTTTAAAATTAGCATATATACAATTCTTATTTCTCACCTTACCGTCACCTTTTAAAAAGGTAATTTTGAACATCTATTTTTTAACCTAAGCAAAATCTTAAGACCCAATGAGACTCAAGAAAGTAGTTTGAGGGACTTCCCTGGTGGTCCAGTGGTAAAGAATCCGCCTTCCAATGGAGGGGAGGCAGATTCGATGCCTTGGACGGAACTAAGATTCCCCCAAGCCGCGGGGCAACTACTGAGCCCGCGCGCTGCAACTAGAGAGCCCGCATGCCACAAACTACAGAGCCCACATGCTCTGGAGCCCAGGCGCCACAACTAGAGAGAGAAAACCCACACACAACAACTAGAGAGAAGCCCAGGCGCCACAACTAGAGAGAAGCCCCTATGCCACAACTAGAGAGAAGCTCATGCACCGCAACGAAGATCCCACGTGCCGCAACTAAGACCAGACACAGCCAAAAATTAAAAATAAATAAATAAAATAAAAAAAGAATGTAGTCTGAGGGATGAGGGACTGCCCTGGTGGTCCAGTGGTTGAGACTCCTCCTTCCAACGCAGAGGACGCGGATTCGATCCCTGGTCCAAGAACTAAGATCCCACATGCCACGGGGCAACTAAGCCTGCGCACCGCAACTACTGAGCCCACGTACTCTGGAGCCCACGTGCCACAACTAGAGAGAAGCCCGCACGCCACAACAAAAGATCCTGCATGCTGCAATGAAGATCCCGTCTGCCGCAACTAAGACCCGAAGCAGCCAAAAATAAATAAATAAAATAAATTTAAAAATATACAGAGATTTTAAAAAAAAGAAAGTAGTGTGAAAACCTGAGAATCTCTGGTGGGGTCATCAAACATCCTTCATGCATTACATCGAACACAAAAACTCGGCCTCGACACATCACTGCAATGTGATTTGGGCAATGCCCTTCACTCTCTGGAAAAAGAAAAAGAAAATAGAAGACTCAAATCTCTCAAAGTTAAGCAAGAGTAAAGCTGCATATTTATATCCAACAGAAAAAAAAATTCCTCCAATATTTTATCTATCATATATTCATCAAATATGTGACATGAATAAAAATACTTTAATAAGGTGATAAAATTTCAGTTATTATGTCATAAATACATGTTCCTGAAACCCGTCCACGTAAAACATCTAGAAATCCACGAAAGTTTCAAATATTTGTATACCTTAAGAATCATATAAATTCCGTATTATTGCAGGACTTTCTAGTTTTATTTATCGATAGGATGGGAAGAGAAAAGTGTCGCAGAGAAATCCTGGAGGAGAGCTATTTGAGTTAAGTTTCTTTTGGGGTTTTTCTTTTTTTTTTTTTTTAACATCTTTATTGGAGTATATCTGCTTTAAAATGGTGTGCTAGTTTCTGCTTTATAACAAAGTGAATCAGCTATGCATATACATATATCCCCATATCTCCTCCCTCTTGCGTCTCCCTCCCACCCTCCCTCCCTCCCTATCCCACCCCTCTAGATGGTCACAAAGCACCGAGCTGACCTCCCTGTGCTACGCGGCTGCTTCCCACTAGCAATCTATTTTACATTTCGTAGTATGTGTAAGTCCATGCCATTCTCTCACTTCGTCCCAGCTTACCCTTGCCCCTCCCTGTGTCCTCAAGTCCATTCTCTACGTCTGCGTCTTTATTCCTGTCCTGCTTGGGGATTATTTTAATGTTTATTGATCATCACATAATTTAACTGCAATAGTATCTAGCTGTGATTTCTCAATAAAACAGTTTTCAGTAGAATAAGGACACTGTATGCCTGGGTGGCAAGGAGAAAGCATTTTGCCCAATCTGTAGCATTACTCAAGGCTCTGATGACACCTGGTAAGCCACTGATAATTGATTCTATGACTCATTTGGCACATCTTAATTCCCCAAGAACTATTTGAGATTTTTTTTGAGACTATCCTGATTTAGTCCCATTTTTCAAGTACTAGTCCCTTTGAGAAGGGTCTTCCTACAAGATCCCTGCTCCTTCCCTCTCAAAAAAGAAAGAGGAGGAAGAAAGTTAGGAAAGACATATACTGCCACTGGAAGTAAATTTATTGGTTGACATTACGTACAAGGAACTGTGCTAAATGTTTTACACAGATTATCTAATGAAATCTATTCATCAGCTAAGAGGAAGAGCCATTTCCCGATAGCACTATTATTTTTTCTCTTATATCCTATTTCCTCAAGTCCTTGTAGGTGAGGTATGTATTTCCTTTGTCCCTCATGGCTATTTCGAAACCATTTCTTCTTTCTTCCCCCTTCAAAAACCTCCGTACCCTTTTACATTTACCACCACTACCTTTTATTGCTGTCCTCTATTACCTAAAATTTCAGGCTGCAAAAGAAAAAATAAAATAAACCTGATGCCAAGTTAATAAATATTTGGGAAGAGGATGACAGAAGGGTGCTGCCACAGGATGAGCATAAGAGGGGATAGTTGAGCAGAGAAATGAAGCAAAGGTGTGAATACAGAAATACCTGCAGGAAGAGAGTTCCAGGTAGAGGAAACAGCAAGTACAAGGGCATTAGGACAAAAATGAGCTGGTCTGCTTAAAGGGAAACAAGGTCAGTGCAGCTACAGCAGAGAGAAATGGGTAGAATGGTAGAAAAATTTGGGGCCAGACCATATTGGCCTTAGAAAGGGCTTGCAATTTGAAGTATGATGGAAAAGAAGCCAATGGAAGGTTTTAAGCAGGATAGTAATAACGTCACCTAATTAATACTTTACAAAAGGCACTCTAGCTGCCATATGGAGAAGAGATTTTTAAGAGGGAAGAAAATATACAGCAAGATCAGTTAGGAGGTAACTGAAGTGGTCCAGGTGAGAACCACCTAAGTGAGAGTTGATGGTGGCTTTGACTGGGGTGTGACACTTGAAGGAAGCAAGAGGTCAATTTTTTCTTTTTAAGAAGGGAGGTATTACAAATTGGTACAACCCGCTAAAGAGGGAAGACTGTTAATGCAGCACAGAGAGAAAGGATAATGCAGAAGCAAGGTCCTTGATTAAACAAGAGGTGATGGAGCCCAGGGCACCTTACAGAAGGGTTATCCTTAGGAGTTAGAACAGTTCCACACTCTTAAAAAGAGAAGACAAAGTATATGAATATGCAGTAGTGTACAGCAAGGAGGTTACAGAATGGGCCAATATTTGAATGAATGTTTCTATGACTGATGTAATAAATCACCACTAACTTAGTGGTAAATCACCACTAGCAACACAAATTTATTGTCTTACAGGTCTGGGGACCGAAGTCTGAAATGTGTCTCACTGGGCTAAAACGAGGGTGTCACCAAGTCTGTGTTCCTTCTGGAGGCTCTAGGGGAGAATCTGTTTTTCAGCCTCTAGAGGCTGCCCACATTCCGTGGCTCAGGGCCCCATTCCTCCATTTTTTTTTCTTGGCTGCCCCACACGGCTTGCAGGGTTTTAGTTCCCCGATCAGGGATCGAACCTGGACCCTGGCAGTGAAAGTGCTGAGTCCTAACCACTGGACCGCCAGGGAATTCCCTCCATTCCTTCATCTTCAGAGCTATCAAGGGAGGATCATGACTTTCTTATGCTTGCATCCCTTTGGTTCTCTCCTCTGCCTCTTTCTTCACTTGTAAGAATTCTTATGATTACTCTGGGTGCACCTGAATAATCCAGGATAATCTCCCTATCTCAAGGTCAATTGATTAGCAAACTTAATTTCATCTGCAACCCAATTCCCCTTTACCATTTAAGGTAACACATTCAGTCGGTTCCAAGGATCAGGAAGTGGACATATTTGGGGGTCATTATTCTGCCTATCAGATAGGTTGGCAACTTTGGTGATAGAAACATTGCTTTACATTTGTTGAGAAATAAAAGAGTTCATTGGCTGGGAATAAAGAAGGAGAAAGGCATGAAACAGTCTTCTCTGGAAGTGAGAGAAGAGCTTGACAAAAGAATACAGCAAGGCAGTGCTTTCCGTCCACTTGAGGTTTGACTGAGAAAAGTTAAGTGATGTTTTGTGGTTTCCTTTGGCCAAGTGAATTGCTAGGGTAGGTGTCTTGAATATGTGGAGGAAAGACAGAAGACTGAAATTTAAAGTGCTGAGGCGGGGGTGGAGTGGGGAGGGAGGGAGCAGGTGAGCAAAGGTTTGAATGTATATGTAAGGAGTGGTGACAGGAAAGAACCACAGAGAGATGTGAAGACGTGGCCACGGGGAGGGAGAAATGAAACAGCGAAGAACTGCAGAGTAACTGAATTTTAAGTCAAGATGTGGTCAAAGAAATGGCTGAGGTGGACCGAAAGGAAGTGAGTTGTGAAAAGAAGGTGGAGGTCAGAGTGAGATGCCTACAACCACACTGCTGGAGGTGAGAGAGTTTTCGATTACAACAAGGTCTATGGCTGGGCCATGGGAGTGGGTGGCTGCTTGAGAAGGAGAGGAAGGAAGGAGAAGCCACGGGTCATCCACAAATGGAGGCTGAGGCCAGCAAGAATGTGACTGAGGTAATAATGGAGAGACAGACAGTGAGACTGGTGCTAAAGCAATCAATGAATGAAGGAAAGTGACCAAAAGGGAAGTCACTATGACAATGACAAGTAGGGGTGACATAACCTGATAGCATTTTTTTTTCAAGAGCTCAAATTGCAAGGGAAAAGAAAACACGAAAAGGGCAACAGGAAATAAAGAAGACACCAACATCTCCTACTTGCCCTCCAGTACCAAAGTGTAAGAGAAAAACAAAATCCCCATTTGAGATGGTTATAGGAAAAGCAGTGTAAAAAATAACCAAGTTTCACGAACAGCACCTTTCAGGAGGAAAGGGGAACTTTCTGAGAAAAGGTGGAGAATATAATGGATTCTGCTGACCATGAGCTCCATCAAGTACAGCAGAAGGGTTTGGGAAGGAGTGGAGGGTGGGTCCCAGCAGTGGGGAACTTGAGTCAAATTAGGCTATGCACAAATCCATGAATCTAGATGACAAGAGATGACATTCGAAGTCTGAACTTCTTGGGCAAAACGAGGTGCACAGGATGAAAAGCAAAACTGAATTAGTCTTAATGGTCTCGTAAGGTAAAAAAAAAACAAAAAACAACACCAAAAAACAAAACTAGGTCTAACTTACCTCGTTATTGAGACTAGCCTCTTATCTGCAGCAGCCTGCATGCTGCCGTCCCCCTCAACACACATAATTTCTTCAATTTTCTCCTTATCCAGGATAGACTCTATAGCCAACATTACAATTTCTCCCTTGCAAAAATCCTCATTCCCTCTTCCTCTGCACCTGCCCCTGTTGCTGAAGGAAAAAACACAACACACCATATAGTCTAACTTTAAATTCATAAAAACACATCTCAACACTGTTTAGCTACCCTATGTTTCCACAGAACGTTTGCTTTTCCCACTTTCCAAAGTGACCATTTCAAACCATCTCCTTTTTTTCTCAAGTATTCCACCGCCACCTCAGTTCTTATTTCACCAAGGAAAACACAAGCAGTACATGGAACAGCCTCCTCTTCCTACAGCAAGATCAGCCCATCTGTGTGCATCTAGACGCAAACTTTCTGCATTGCCTCTCATCCTTGCTCCTGCCAAAGACCAGTTCTTCCACCATTTCTGCTCTTATGTTCTCAATGTCTTTGGTTCTTTATCCTTTCCCCGGCAAGATAATTTTTCCTTCTCTCCTACGTCATTCCTATGATGTATCACCCATCTTTTTAAAAATAAATAGCACATACATACACACACACACACACACACACACACACACAAAATCTTCCACTGCACATCCAAACCTTTTCTGCAAGAATTATTTCCAAACGCTGCCACCACTTCTTCAGTTTGCTTTCATCTCCTCCCGCTGAGCTCCGTTCCCCAACTTCTACTAACACTGCTCTTGTCAGCGGCAGCCTCTGTCCACATCACTCTGACAAATCCAATGGTCACGTCCAATTTCCACCTCATTTGACCTCATGGGAGCATTAGGTAAAACAGTTCTTTCTCGTGGCTCCTGGGAGACCACTGTTCTTGTTTTCTTCCTGCTTTGGTCTCTTTGGCTGGTTCCTCCTTCTCTGACCACCAAATACTGTATTTGACTGTGATCGGGATCAATACTGGTTCCCCTGATCATCTTCAGCTACATGTATTCCAAAAGTAATCCTATTCTTATGGGGGTAGAAATGATCTCTATGCCTGCTAATGATGACTCCTAAATCTTTATCTGCAGTCCTGAATTCTCCCCAGTACCCCAAACTCTGTACCCAACTGCCTATTTACATTTCCACTTAGATGCCTAAAAGGCATCTTAAATTCAGTGCAGTCTAGGGAACTCTTTATTTTCTTCCCTATATATTTCCTCCCAGTTTTCCCCACCTCATGAACCAACACACCTATCTACCCCGTTAGCTTCTCAAGCCCAGTAACTTGAGGGCATCTCTGATTCCTCTTTTTCTCTCACATCTCACAACCAATCTATGAATAATTCTGCTTACTCCATATCCAAAATCTCTCCAGAATCTAGCAGCTATTCACCACCTCCATGCTACCACCCGAGGACAAGTCATTATTATGGCTCACTGGGACTACTAAAACAAGCTTCTCATTCATCTCCCTGCCGCTACATATCTCTCTCCTAAAAACTTATTCTTCAAACAGCAGGCAGAATGATCTTTTCTAAAGCATAAACTGTTCACATCACTCTCTTGGTCAAGACCCGCTAAGAGTATCTAATCACATTTTAAATAAAAACCAAAAAGCCTCAGCGGGCTTCCAAAGTACTCTATGATCCAGACGCTTTTACATCTTTGCAATCCGCCCCCTCCTTCTTGCCTACTCTGCTCCATCCACATTGCCCTTCGAACATGCCAAGTTTATTCACGCCCAGAAGATTCCCCCTCGACACACACACAAACACACACAAACACACACGCACCCCACCACCACCTCTGCCTCCACCACTACCAACACACTGAACTAAACAAAAACAAAAACGAAAAGCAAAGAAACTGTGCCCGATTATCTTATTATTCAGATCCTCAGTGAGGTCCTCCCTGACGACCTAATCTAAAACAGCCCCCCAGTTACTCATGGGATTTGAATTCTCTATATAGCATTTGTCACAAACACTATGATATTTTTCCATGTTTACTGATTCCCTCAGCTTTATCCCTATTTGCACTTATTCACCTAACTGTAAGTTCAAGAACATACTAACCATGACCGTTTAAACCACTGTATCAAGAAGTACATTATTAATTTAATGAATCCCCACCTTATGCACTGTTACTTAAAGAACTTACCTTATCTACAGACATACCTATTAAGCGATAAAAGATTGAATTCAAAACCAGGTCTATTGATAATCGTTCTTAACTAATATGCATATTATTTCTATTTGCTACTGCTATTCTCCTATCAATTTTCTCCTGTTCATCTTTTCAATTCACATTTGGACGTTCAACTTTATGCCATAAATAACCAGGTTCCTAATTCTTTCTTTTAATTCTTTCTCTTGCAACATCAAGGTAAACGTGTCTGGTCTTAAGGACATTAAATATCTCAACCTCCTACAGAGTTTTACAAAAAGTTGAGTTCTACATGAAAGTAAACTTATACTTCTCACACTATAAGCAAAATTGGGTAATGAAATTTTACTTCTAAATAAAATTTTATATAAGAAAAATACCCATTCATAATGACATTCTGCAGTAATATAAACTATGTTATTAAATTTATAAGAAAAATTCCTGAAGTAACTGGAAACCAGCAGTTACTACTACAGAATTTTCCCTTTGAAGATATGCTAGGACACCAAGCAGAAAGTGCCATTAAACTAACTGTAAAAACAAAAACTTTGATGAGTCAATCTGAACTCATGTGCCTTCAAGAAGATGGGTATCAGGCTCTTACCTCATACGAAGAAGAGGGGTGGGTTGAGGGGAGGAAAGCATACTCACAAAGACACATGGGACATGATGAGCACATACAAACACTCAAAAAGAGAATTCAGGTAAGAAAGGAGGGTAGAAAGAGAAGGATCCAGATCATATGCTCCAGATCTCCTAAAACTGATTCATAATTCTACTCTTTAACTAAAATTTAAACTCAAATGATGCAATAAAAGCAACAGGTTTGTACAGAACCATGTAAGACAGTTGCAAAAAATTCATTCCCACAAATTACTTCCAGCTAATCACTATGACTGAAAGAAAAGGTTCATAGAAAGCTTCTGATCAGTCAAAATCCAATAAGAAATATTTTTCAAAACAGTATGTTCCAAATTAAAAAAAAAAAAGTATGTTCCACAGTGCCATGGGAATTCCCTGGTGGTCCAGTGCTTAGGACTCGGCACTTTCACTGCTGTGGGCCCAGGTTCTATCCCTGATCAGGGAACTAATATCTCGCAAGGCACACAGAGCAGCCAAAAAAAAAAAGTATGTTCCACAGCATCACAGAAGAAACTGCAGCAAAACTACCCAAATCCCAATGCTTTTACCAGAAAAAGTACATGTGTTTGTTTTCTACTTACCAGTCCTAAAATAATTAATAACTGAATCTCTAGTCATTCCTGGAACCTTGCAGGTGGAGAACAGCATTCGGAATTGATTCATATCTAGAGGAGTATTTCCAACTTTATGAACAGGCAATTTTTCTCTATCAAAACAAACCAAAAAAGTATATTGACGAAGAAATCATTATAAAATTTATAAACCAAACAGTCACACCTACAGTATTCTTCCCCAAATGAGTAAATTAAGCTTCTCAACATCGTGCGACCTGAGACCTTGGGTAAATATGTAACCAAATTGACATAACTATCCTTACTTCCTTAATAGCTGCCAGTAGTTCAAGATATGCCAAAGACTTATACTTCCTCTTTCCAATTGCGTGCCTTCCTTTGGAGGCCAATAGTGTTCAATATGGCTTGCAGGACCCCCAAAGTTGACATGCAGTTGTGATGGTATACGAACATCCAGGTAGGCAACATTCAGCCACCAGTCTTCCAGCTAAAAGAAATTGAGAACATCAGCCTAATGCTACTGATAATACTTCAGTGTGTAACTGCTGGGGGGGGAAAAAGCTCTATTTGTCCTTTTTTCTTTAATTAGTCTTCAACACCTAAAAACACGTTTCGTTTTAAATCATCACAGATATTAAAAAATGGTACTGTGATCATTTCTTTCTTTCAGAATTATGGGATCTGAATTAAGTTCAACTACATTATCAAAAACATGAAACAAGAAAGCACTGAAACAAACACCTTCAGGCTGATCATACTGAAATCACCAAGTACTCAGAGTACCAGGAGTACCCAACAAAGTACTCTAGGTGTGTTTCCTCAGAGTACCTGGGGTACAATAGATATTCAACAAATCCTCAATTATAACAATTATTAAGGCACTTATAATTTTCCTATTTCCTTTTTCATAGAAATATGAAAACTTTTCAGTAGGCTTAAAACTAATTTGGATTTTTCAGTGACACCACTTTCTATGTGTCCCTCTTTCATGACGTGCAATTGAATTTCATGTATAAGTAAGGGGATGTCACCAAATTACCTGGAGCTCTTTTTGAAGAATTTGATGTTATAAACTATAATCAGTCATTTGGAAAAAGATATAAATGAAAAGGATACAGGCAGAACAACAACTTCTTTACCTTTACCCTAATTTAATTAAAGTCACTCAAGCCTCAAGATTGAGAAAAAAGGCATCTTGAGGTACAAAATTTTATTATTCCATCATAGGTATGAAAGGAGAATGAGAAGATCAGCTTGCTTTTTATTTCTAAAACTAAATGAGAGTTACAATCATTATTTCTAGATTAAGGCAATATCTTAAATTATGAAAACTCATCCTCTGGTTTGTACTACAGAAGCAGAGTAATTACGAAAAAGTCAAAGAAGATTCCTTGTGGCAAATTACCGAGATCCTCAGTAATTATGAAACAACTGTCTCCTCAAACTATCTAACTGAAACATAGAATACTCATAAACATTCTCCACTCCAGTTTTGTAATGGCCCTTTTCTCCTACGTACTGTTTAAATATTTGTATGCCACCAATGTGATGTTTATTTTAGTGTTGTGGGACTTTGATTATCTGGGCAAAATGTTTTTCTCAAGCATGGTCTACAGATGACCTGCATCAGAACCACATGGAGTAGTTGTGAAAATCAGGATTTCTGGGCCCCCATTCCAGAGATACTGAATCAGAATCACTGGTCCCAGGAATTCTGCATTTTAACAGGTTCCCCAAAAGGAGAGGAGCCCACACACAACACTTACTTAAAACTTCCCAGAGTTAAACAATTCACTCATTCTTTTGGATGATGATAAAGACAACAATAACTACAAGGATTTTACAGTAGAGTAATAATTTAAAAATGAAAGCCACATACACTTTTATTTTTCATTAAGTATCAATATTCTAAGTACAATAACATAAATACCCAATTTCTTTTTTCTTTTGCCCTTTCAAGTAATTTCTGCTGCAATTTTTCTCCAATACCATTTTGAAACTTTTGGACAATTGCTTCAGTTTTCTTATATTCTTCTTCATTTGCAAATGGCTTTACTATAAAGAAAAAAATATGCATTAAAGTACTTAGATATCAAGTACCACAAACTCACCTCAATTATTATTACTTACACAAATCTTGACTCAGTTATATAAAACACTTATGTATTAGAGCAGTCCACTAAATTATAATAGAGTTTACAACATGAAAATGGCTGAAAAGCAATAATGCAAAATACTGGAAAAAATAAAACAGTGGATACTATGTAGTCTGATAACTACTTCCCCCAAAATTATTTAAAAATCATTCTAGACGATGATAGTTAAAATGACATACAGGACTATCATCTAGCTACTAGTCCAATAGGAAAGTAAATCCTGTTTAGCCATGACTGAGAGAAATTAAAGCTTCTTTCCACTGATGTTGAAGTAGAGCCTTAAACATTATGAACGTAAGTGCAATATGTATGTAAATTTAAGTGTAAAGCCTTCCCAAAGCACTGTAGGGTCCCTTCTGGCCAATAGCGATTTCACACACACACACACACACACAAAGAATACAGGGGTCCTAGTCCATGAAAACCAAGTGTTCTGAAAATTAAGCTATAGATGAAAGTAAATTAGAAATCAAGGGACATTAATATCTTCCTTTTGTTTTATTTTTGTCACTTCAAAGTCTTCTCTTAAAGTTAATTTAAATAGCTGCATTCAGAGAGCACAAGTGAATAATCAGTGAATTTTTTAAAAAAGAAACTAAAATTCTAAGATGAAAGTAGATGCGAAAAAAGAACTAAAAAAAAAATCAGAGGGCTTCCAATTAAACAAAGGGAACTAAGGTCATAAATTTATCGTCACTTCTAGAAACTCACTAAAATGAGAGTAATTAAAAAGGCATAAATTCGGGGCTTCCCTGGTGGCGTAGTGGTCGAGAGGGGACAGGGGTTCGAACCCTGGTCTGGGAAGATCCCACATGCCGCGGAGCAACTGGGCCCATGAGCCACAATTACCGAGCCTGCGCGTCTGGAGCCTGTGCTCCGCAACAACAGAGGCCGCGATAGTGAGGGGCCCGTGCACCACGATGAAGAGTTGCCCCCGCTTGCCACAACTAGAGAAAGCCCATGCACAGAAACGAAGACCCAACACAGTGATAAATAAATAATTATTAAAAATAAAAAAAGAATGTTAGCTTAAATCTGGAGGTAAACACAAGAAGCAGATAAAATATTTCAAAATGCTTGCCTAAAGGTATGGGATTGGCAGTGGGGGAAATGAGGCAGAGGACTACTACTTCTTACTGTAAGCCTAAAAGTACTACCTGGCTTTTTAAACTATGGAAAAATTAACATGAGAGAGAAAGACAGAAATATTTTGGACATTTTAAGGATAATTTTAATTATCATAAGCCTAGAGGAAAAAGCAATTAGACCCTCATCAACTTCTAACAATTTCACAGTTTTCTAAGTTGCTAGCAATATTTATATATGCTAAAAGACTACAAACATACCTGATTCAAGGTATTTCTTTAATGATTCTTCAAGTGAAGGAACAGGCAGTGATGGAAGAGAATCCTGGTACTGAAATGTTCTTTCTTCACTTGATTTAGCCAACTGATTTTCCATGATGCAATCACAACAGGAACACTAAAGAAAAAAAAAAGCCCTCACAATTCAATTTCATAAATATTCTTTTAGATGCTAGTCCCAACTCACTACATCACTTTTTAGTGACCACAGTATATCTAAGACCTGGTCCTAGTCCTTAGGAATTCATGAACTTGTCAGAGAGAGAAAACCAATTTAAGAAAAAAGTGTAGACTCAAAAGTGCTAGAGGTCAAGGAGTGATCAGAAAGACCAGTATAATTATCATTTATTGAGCACCTACTATTTGCCAAGTACTGCAATAAGTGTTATAGAAAATGTGTTCTCTCTCTCATATTCATACTATCTCTGAAAGGTGTCGTTCACTGTCATTTTACATAAGAAGTCAAAACTCAAGAGAGATTTAGTAAACTGCCTCAGGTCAAAGCAACAACTCAAATCCAGACCTGTTTGACCACAATCTTCCTCCCATACAAAGGCTACATGATAGTGGGTGAGGTCTAAATGGGTAGGTAGAATTCAGATGTGTAGAAAAGGATAACGGGCTGAGAGAAAGAACTTTGAAGAGGAAAATATGAAAAGTTGTGGAAGAGTCATCCAACTATATAGAGTTACAAAATGTTACAGAGTACATAAATCATATGACAGGCTGCTGTAACCTAATCCTGCAGTGGTGTGAGGCCTAAACAGAATGATCTCAAGTATCCCAAAGCAATCTTGTACATTTTCCACAGATGTATTAATTTTCAGAAATATCAAAGTAATACAAAATGTGAATAAAGAGGTTCCTCAAAGCCTTTATAAATTATATATTAAAATAGCAGTTGAGAAATGAAGAAACATTAATATTGAATAAGAATTTCCTGTCCTTTCAAATACTACCTGCTAAAACTAATAGCAAAGCCAAATAAAATATTCCACTCAGAAAGTTATAGAATAAAACATTATAAAAAACAATGGTGTGGCAGAGACTGTTTTCAGCCACTATAACTTTCCCCCTTCTTTCTTAACAGAATCCTGAGTTTCAGCTGGGTAGACAGCCATATAGCTGTATCTTTCCTACTCTCCCTTGGAGCTCAGTATGGCTTTGCGATGTATATGTTGCCTCCAGATCATTCCCCTGTAAGGAACTACAGGCGTTCTCCTGTGCTTTCTCTCCTCCTCCCTGCCTATCAGGAAAGTCCCAGCTGGAACAGCACTTTGTACCCATTTATGGGAGCCAGGTATTGAGGCTGTCAGAATCTTCCTACTAGCCCTGGACTCCTTCTTCTAGATGTATCAAAAAAAAAAAAAAATCTTTTATTTATGCCATTGTAGTTTGGCTTTCTTTGTTAGGGGAGAAGAGCTTAGCCTACACCACTAATATAACCCCAAAATGAGGTACAACAAAGATCTCAATTCCTCTGCTTCTTCCTATCTAAATAGGAAGAAGCCCTTCACTTGGACCATCCGCAAACATGCCTTTAGATCTAATAGAAATGTAGATCTGGGTCCAAATACCAACTCGCCATTTTCTAGCCATATGCCCCTGCACAAATAACTTTACCTGAATTTCTTCATCTGTAGAGAGGATACTCAAATAATCAGACAGAGTTGTTGTTAGGGTTTTCTTTTTTTTTAATACCTGCAAAACTGCACTGTAAAAATAATCTAGTTTTGAGACAACCATATCAGGCTAGGTAGAATGTCTATGAGCGGCCCCCATGATTCTGCCCCCTCTAATACGCAGAACCTGTGAATATGAGATTATCACTTCCTTGACTGTAATGGCGTTATTGCACAGTTGACCTTATTTGAAGTAGGGCGGTTATCCAGGTGGGCCTAATCCAATCACTTGAGCCCTCTGGACCAGAAAGCTTTCTCCAGGAGGTGGCAGAAGACTAGTCAGGGAGATTAAAAACATGAAAAGGACTGGAGGTGCTATCTGGCTTTGAAAATGCAGGTGGTCTCGTGGAACTGAGAGAGGCCCCAGCTGACAGCCATTAAGGAAACTGGAGCCTCGGTCCTACAACTGCATGGAAATTAATTCTGCCAACAACTTCAGTGAGCCTGGAGATGGATTCTCCCTCAGAAAGCCCAGACCAACAAACTTTTATTTCAGCTTTGTGAGATCCTAAGCAGCATACCCAGCTAAACCTACAGAGACCTCCCATCTACAGAGCTGCTAGTTAATAAGTTTGTGTTTTTTTAACTGTTAGGTTTGTGATAAATTGTTATGGTAGCAATAGGAAACTAACACACATATACAGAAAAAATAAGCTATTCTCTGTATACATCCCTACCACTCACTAGACTCTAGGAATCTGAGACCACGACTACCAGTACCATACTCACTACAGTCTTAACTCACCAAAAGGTACACAGTAAAAATAGGAAGTATCAGATTCTTTCATGGAGGATTGTTTTGAACTCTCAATCACAAAGATTAAATAATACAATTCTAAAATAACCTACAAATGCATTAAGAAAATGACGCTGGATTTAATTACAGTGGGCCTCCTGGGAGCAATAAGATGTAAACTCAAAGTAGAAAACAGAATCAGGTAAACAAGAAACAGAAATAAGTAAAATAAATAGCTTATCACATACCGGTACACCAAGATCAATTGTTTAGGACTGCCAAGAGCGCGTTGCAACAAATCTGTTTTGGAATCACGGAGATTTGAACTGGGCTGGTGACTGTCGGCAGGAAGAAAAACAAGTTTAACAATTGCAGGGGTAAAAAATTAACAGAAACTAGTAAAAGAAGGTGGAAAACAGACAACTTAGGGGTTGGAGGCCCCAAGCCTCAAACTTTTGGCAATCACAGCAAACTCACGCCAACAGTCCAGCTGCCAGAAAGCTGGATAAAAATTACTACACTACTAACTAGGTTAACTACTAGGACAACTACACTCCCTTCCATGAGACAGTCCCCAGGAACGATGTACCTCCCGGCGCCCGGGTATCTGGTGCCGGCGCTTTGTCGCAGGGCTGCAAGTTCAAAGCTTGGCTCTAGAGACGGGAGGAGTAGACGGCGACGAGAGGTCGGAGACTCCTCCCGCCAACGCAAAGGCAGCTCCGCATACTTCAGAAGCCAGCAGGTGAGAGAAATTCAACCAAGCACCACGACGGACCAGCCTAGCGGCCCAGCCTCAAGGATACCTCGCAGACCCCGGCAAGCGAGATGCCTTATGCCACCCCCGCCAGTCCTGGCAACTCACGCTCTCCACAATTTAACGCTGTTCTAACGCCTTAACTTCTCCCCACCCGCGAAGGGTTAGCGGGGGAAGGACGGAAGAAGAAGGGAGGGAGGGAGCGCTACTCCGCGGGCTGGCTAGTCCCAACCCCCAGCGGCTGATAAACTCCGCCGCAGCGCACAGCTGCGCAGGCCCGCTTCCCTGAGGCCGCCCCGGAGCGGCAATTGGACGGAGAGCCGCGAGGGTCCCGCCCCACGAGCACCGGGTAACGGGGATTGGCTGGGAAGCCGCGACGGTTCCTCCCCCCACCCCCCCGCGTACTTGAAGGCGGCGGGGGGGCGGGCCGGGCCTGCGCTCCGGTGCGACCTAGCTCCGCCTCCAGTCGTCCGTCGGGGGCAGGGTTCTAGGCTGCGGGCGCCGGAAAGGCTCGGCTGGGCGGACAAAAGAAACAGTCCAAACGTAGCCCGGCAGCAGTCAACTGCTTGCTGCTGGTGGAGCTCAGCGCATTGCCAGGGACACGGAGGGCTCTAAGGGCCGTGCTCCGCTCACGCAGTTACCTAACCGTCTGGAGCTGATGTAGGAACAGATGGCCCATTTTCACCTGTTCCTCTTCTAGCCCCACCTATGGCTTACCAGCCGCTCTTACCGCGTTCCCCGTGTGACGCTTTTTGTAACCCCCAAGTAAGAATTTATACCAGCGCCTTAAAAAGGAATCCTATTTTTCACTCCGTGTCCTAGGAAGAGAACAGTAACCACGTAAATCCCTACTTGACCTCTCTTTTCCTTCATCCACTGAGGGTGAAATTTGCCCAGCGTAGAGAGGCTGCAGCACTCTGCTCCTTCGGGGCTTCCTTTCCACAGGTCTTCATGCTGCCCAAGGTCCTCCAAGCCCCCAGGACTCACACTGCAAGCTTGAGGTTGACCTGATGTCTTTTACTATCGCACCAAGACATGAAGTTTTTAACCAGAGGGAACTAGGCAAGTTCTAGAGGAAGATCATAATATAGTTAACTTACTTTCACAGGCAAATCATTTTTACATTTACCTCCTGAAATATACTGTTTCATTTTTCATTTTAAATACACTTTCATTTTTGTGGAAGAAAAGACAAATAGTTTACAGTGGCTCTGAACTGGATATCAAATATAAATAATTGGATTCCAAATTAACGTGTCATTATAGATCCTTTATCTGTCTTTCCTAAGTCCCTTAATAGTAAAATCTGACCAGAAGGGAACTGAGGCTATGTATAACTGAATATTCATTTGGTGTGAATATTCATAAGTTCTCTACAGAAATATTAATGAGTTTGGTTACAGTGCAACTTCCGCACTTGATGGAGATGTTACTTAATATGTGGCAGACACACTTCTCTGATAAAAGTTCTGAATTCTGAAACATATCAGGCCAAAAAAGTTTTCAGATAAGGGACTGTAAAGTTGTAGTAGTAATTTCTGAAGGTGCGGTAACGAACTTTTCTCTCATAGTATTTAAGTTCTGTGTTCTGGATAATGTTCAAATTGGCTTACAAGACATTATTCTTAAACAGAATTTTAAAAATAGTCAAAAAACCTTCACTGTATTTTTTTTTCCTTCCTAGTGAATTTTGGCACCGCTTAAAGTTTATGCATGTTTAATGACTGTGGGTGCTTTAGGGTCACTTAGCTTCACTGCCTCTCTCCTAGTCTTAATGTTTATATAAAAGGAAACAAGATATTTCTGCAAAGATTCCTGGATTCTTAGAAAGAGAAAAACCTGTGGTACTGAGTGAAAAGGAGTGGAACAGAGACTTGAGTATGCAGGGGGAGAAAAGGTGATGTTTAAAAATATACTGATAAGGGCTTCTCTGGTGGCGTAGTGGTTCAGAGCCCGCCTGCCGATGCAGGGGATACGGGTTCGTGCCCCGGTCCGGGAAGACCCCCACATGCCGCGGAGCGGCTGGGCCCGTGACCCATGGCCGCTGAGCCTGCGCGTCCGGAGGCTGTGCTCTGCAACGGGAGAGACCACAGCAGTGAGAGACCCGCGTACCACAAAAAATAAAAAAATAAAAAAATAAATATACTGATAAGCAGATGTACTAATAATCCCCCAAAGCGTATATTTTAAAATGATTTGTTTTTCTTCAAAATACATAATATGTGTTTTATTGGAAGATTCCAAATTATGTTCTGTTCAGGTTAAATTTGAACTAGTTTTCATCTCTTAGAGTGGAGTGGGTGATAGTGGCTAGTGAGGCACATCACATATATTGATAACAAGAGGTTGTCCCAAGATTAAAAATTGATTGTTGAGTCAAAGTATTTTTCTAGAGAAAAACTTGTAAGTATTACAAGCGGTGATAATAAGGTTTTTAAGTTGACGTCAAAGGTCTTTCATTTTTACTCCCATGAGATCTTTCATTTTTAATCCTATGTAGCTCTTTCTCAGTATACCACAAATAGAAACAGCTCTTTGTAGACAAGTCTATAGACAAAATCTTTTTTTTTTTTTTTTGCGGTACGCGGGCCTCTCACTGCTGTGGCCTCTCCCGTTGCGGAGCACAGGCTCCGGACGCGCAGGCTCAGCAGCCACGGCTCACGGGCCCAGTTGCTCCGCTGCATGTGGGATCTTCCCGGACCGGGACATGAACCCGTGTCCCCTGCATCAGCAGGCGGACTCTCAACCACTGCGCCACCAGGGAAGCCCTAGACAAAATCTTATAGACAAGTTTGGATAAGTTCCACCATAAAAAGTATAAAAAAACCAGGAATTTACATTTTGATCTGCATAGCTAGTTTACTGCTAAGACTTGTGGCTCTAAGAAGTAATGAGTTGTAGTATAAATCGCTCTAATCTATGAGACAGATCTTTAATCTACTTTCATCCCCATGTATAAAATGAACATATTGAAGAAATAATTCTGTGATATTTTCTTATTTTTAATGAGGGGATGGGGGCAGTAGACAGGTAGTCACTTCACAAAGCAGCCTAACAGCAAATTAAAATATACTGGATGCCGAGAACTCCGCCACCAACAGCAGATGAGCGCACAAAGGGCCTCTTCTTAGCACTAGTCAGTGGTTTGGACTTGCCTTTAGTGATATTTACTGTATATAAAAATTTACCGCCGAAATCCTAGGGAAGAGTTAAGATAACTATTATGTCTTTATATCTCAGAAGAATTCTGTATTACTAAACAGAACATGAACTAACAGCTTTGTCAAGATATAATTTACATACCATAAAGTTCCCCCGTTTAAAGTGTATAAATCACTGGATTTTACTATATTCACATGGTTATGCAATCACCATAAGCTAATTTTAGAACTTTTTTTTAGAATTATTTTTTTAAATAAATTTATTTATTTTATTTATTTATTTTTGGCTGTGTTGGGTCTTCATTGCTGCTCGCAGGCTTTCTCTAGTTGTGACGAGCAGGGGCTACTCTTTGTTGCGGTGCGCGGGCTTCTCATTGCGGTGGCTTCTCTTGTTGCGGAGCACGGGCTCTAGGTGCACGGGCTTCAGTAGTTGTGGCACGCTGGCTCAGTAGTTGTGGCTCCCAGCCTCTAGAGTGCAGGCTCAGCAGTTGTGGTGCATGGGCTTAGTTGCTCCATGGCATGTGGGATCTTCCCGGATCAGGGCTCAACCCCGTGTCAGGTGGATTCTTAACCACTGCACCACCAGGGAAGCCCCCTAATTTCTTCTTACCAGGACACTAGTCATACTGAATTAGGGCCCACCCTAACAGCCTTATATTAACTTAATTGTCTCTTTAAAAGTTCTGTCCCTAAATACAGTCACATTCTGAGGTAATGGGGATTACGGCTTCAACATATGAATTTTAAGGGATAGAATCGGTTCATAACAACATGAAAATAAAAGATCCACAGGTCCACTAAAGTACTGCTAGTACTTGACTAGTACATGAGTACTGCTTGTACTAGTGAGGAAGAAGAAAGGATTCTATTAAGGTTTCTTTTTAAAAGACCTTAAGTTTGGCAAAGGATTCTTTGAAATGACACCAAAAGTGCAAGCAACAAAGGAAAGAAAAAACCAGATAAATTGGATTTCATCAGAACTGAAAACATTTTTGCATCAAAAGACACTATCAAGAGGGTGGAAATATAACCTACAGAATGTTAGAAAATATTTGCAAATTGTATATCTGATAAGGGTCTAGCATCCAAAATATATAAAGAACTCTTAAAACAGTGAGACAAAATTTTTTAAAAATCTGTCCAATTAAAAAAATGGGCAGAGGGTGACTTCACTGGTGGCACAGTGCATAAGACTTCATGCTCCCAATTTATGGGGCCTGGATTCGATCCCTGGTCAGGGAATTAGATGCCACATGCATGTCGCAACTAAGAGTTCTCATGCCACAACTAAGGAGCCCTAGAGCTGCAACTAAGGAGTCCGCTTGCCACAATGAAGGAGCCTGCCTGCAGCAACTAAGACCTGGTGCAACCATATAAATAAATATATATACATATATTTTTTTTAATGGGCAGAGGACTTACAAAGACATTTGTTCAAAGAAGATATACAAATGGCCAAAAAGAACATGAAAGGATACTCAACTCATTAATCACTTGGGAAATGCATACCAAAACCACAGTGAGAAACCACTTTATACCCACTAAGATGACTATTAAAAAAAAAAGCAAAATAACAAGTGCTGGGGAAAATGTGGAGAAATTAGAATCTTTGCATATTGCAGATGGAATAGAATAGTGCAGCTACGTTTTTTTTGTTGTTGGTTTCTTTTTGGTTTTTTTTTTTTTTGCGGTACGCAGGCCTCTCGCTGCTGTAGCCTCTCCCGCCGCAGAGCACAGGCTCCAGACGCCCAGGCCCAGCGGCCATAGCTCACGGGCCCAGCCGCTCCGCGGCACGCGGGACCCTCCCGGACCGGGGCACGAACCCGTGTCCCCTGCATTGGCAGGCGGACTCCCAACGACTGCGCCACCAGGGAAGCCCGCAGCTACGTTTTTTTTTATTGAAGTATAATTGATTTACAATGTTGTGTTAATTTCTGCTGTACAGCAAAGTGATTCGGTTATACCCATATATACATTCATTTTTTTATATATTCTTTTCCATTATGGTTTATCATAGGACACTGAATATGGTTTTCTGTGCTATACAGTAGAACCTTGTTGTTTATCCATTTCATGTATAATAGCTTA